AGGTCTTCAGGTGTATGTACACCCCTGCTGCAGCCCCCCCGATGCTTGCTGCCTCCCCTCACGCTGCTGCAGCAGCAGCAGCAGCAGCAGCTATTGCTGCAGCAGCACCAGCAGCAGCAGCAGCAGCAGCAGCAGCAGCAGCAGCAGCGATATATATCTAGCTTTCGCCGCAGCATGCTGCGCATGCAATGGCCGCTTCTTCGTGCCGAGATGACAGCCTTCTTCCAGCAGCAGCAGCAGCAGCAGCAGCAGCAGCAGCAGCAGCAGCAGCAGCAGCAGCAGCAGGATAAAGGTGTTTATTACAACCGCAGCAGCAGCATAGATTTATTTTGTTTACCTTGGGAGAGATTCATCAGCAGCAGCAGCATCAGCAGCAGCGCATGCATACCCTGTCTGCTGCGGGGCCGGGGGCCCCATCGGCGGTTTGCTGCTGCTGCTGCTGCTGTGCTGCAGCTAGCTTTTGACGAGGATGAGGGGCATCTCTCTTACTGTCAGAAACCCTAAACCCTAAACCCTAAACCCTAAACCCTAAACCCTAGACATGAGGGGGATATAGTATAGATAGAATACACAACACGGAAACAATAGGCAATAAACCCTTAATTGTAAACCCTAAACCCTAATACTAAACCCTAAACCCTAATCCTAAACCCTAAACCCTAATCAATAAACCCTAAACCCTAATGCTAAACCCTAAACCCTAACCTGAAGCCGACAACAATAATATGTGATTATTTCGGTGTATGCATAAACAGACGCTGAGGGTTTAGTGTCTAGGGTTTAGGGTTTAGGGTTTAGGGTTTGCACATGCCTAGTGTTTAGGGTTTAGGGTTTAGGGTTTAGGGTTTAGGGTTTAGGGTTTGTGTGTGTAGTGTTTAAGGCCCGTTTATTTCGTCTTCATTTTGGGGGTTTAGTTGAGGAGGCGCTCGTTAAGGAAGTCAAAGCAGACCCAGGTCAGCAACACACACAAACCCTCGGGTGTATAGGCAGCTCCTCGGGTGTATAGGCAGGTGCTGGGGTGTATAGGCAGCTCCTCGGGTGTATAGGCAGCTCCTCGGGTGTATAGGCAGGTGCTGGGGTGTATATGCAGCTGCTCGGGTGTATAAGCAGCTGCTGGGGTGTATAGGCAGCTCCTGGGGTGTATAGGCAGCTGCTGGCAACTGCTGGGGTGTATAGGGGTGTATAGGCAGCTGCTGGGGTGTATAGGCAGATGCTCGGGTGTATAGGCAGCTGCTGGGGTGTATACGCAGCTGCTGCTGGGGTGTATAGGCAGCTCCTCGGGTGTATAGGCAGCTCCTGGGGTGTATACGCAGCTGCTGGGGTGTATAGGCAGCTCCTGGGGTGTATACGCAGCTCCTGGGGTGTATATGCAGCTCCTGGGGTGTATATGCAGCTCCTGGGGTGTATAGGCAGCTCCTGGGGTGTATAGGCAGCTCCTCGGGTGTATAGGCAGCTGATGAAATGTATATATATATTTTCAATGTTATTTTATTTTTATTTTTATTTGTTTATTTTTTTCTTTTTTATTTTGTTAATTTTTTCATATCTCTCTTTTTCTTTTTTTTTAAACGAATTTCCCGCCTCCACACCCCAACCTAGGGTTTAGGGTTTAGGGTTTAGGGTTTAGGGTTTAGGGTTTAGGGTTTAGGGTTTAGGGTTTGTGTGTAGTATCTCGATCTATATCTTTTATTATATTTGAGCGACATCTTCCTGGCTCTATAAGCGAAGCAGAAATACCCCTAACCCTTCTCGGCCTTCTTGCCTGCCCCGCCTATCATAAAGGTAAACCCTAAACCCTAAACCCTAAACCCTAAACCCTAAACCCTAGAGCATAAACACTAACCCTTCTAGGCCTTCTTGCCTGCCCCGCCTATCATAAAGGTAAACCCTAAACCCTAAACCCTAAACCCTAGAGCATAAACACTAACCCTTCTGGGCCTTCTTGCCTGCCCCGCCTATCACAAAGGTAAACCCTAAACCCTAAACCCTAAACCCTAAACCCTAGAGCATAAACCCTAACCCTTCTAGGCCTTCTTGCCTGCCCCGCCTATCATAAAGGTAAACCCTAAACCCTAAACCCTAAACCCTAAACCCTAGAGCATAAACCCTAGAGCGTAAACCCTAAACCCTAGAGCGTAAACCCTAGAGCGTAAACCCTAAACCCTAGAGCATAAACCCTAACCCTTCTAGGCCTTCTTGCCTGCCCCGCCTATCATAAAGGTAAACCCTAAACCCTAAACCCTAAACCCTAAACCCTAAACCCTAGAGAGGAAACCCTAAACCCTAGAGCGTAAACCCTAAACCCTAGAGCGTAAACCCTAGAGAGTAATGCAAACAATAAAGTGTAAATTTTTATGTAAATAATACACCCAGCTAAAACCCTAAACCCTAAACCCTAAACCCTAAAGTTGAGACTGAATCCTAAACCCTAAACCCTTAACCCTAAACCCTTTATATTTCAAGTCAAAGACATCTGCCCCTTTCTTTTTTTTTTCTTTCTATCTCCTCTCCCCCTCCCCTTCATCACCTCCTGCCCCTCCTACCCCTCTCCTGCTGCTGCTGCTGCCGCTGCTGCTGCTGCTGCTGCTGCTGCTGCTCCTACCCCTCCTGCTGCTGCTGCTGCTGCTTCTACCCCTCTTGCTGCTGCTGCTGCTGCTGCTGCTGCTGCTGCTGCTGCTGCTGCTGCAGGTTACCACGTAGAGTTGTCTCGGGCTACAGTACCGGTGCAGTTTGTGGGGGCTGAGCCCCCCCCCCCCTTTCTGGTGGATGTCTCTCGTTTGCGTTATACTCCCCCATACA